AAATAAAACACATACAAAGTAGAACACAGCTAAATGTATCAAAAGTATGTCTATGTAATATTAGAATTTTCTGAGAGAATGAATTTTGGTTTTTCATTTTTTTTCCCCTGTAAGAGGTTTTTATTTAATAGAATTTTTGGACAAAAAAAATAGCAATATATCGCCTTGCTTATAGTATCGCAATTTATCGGGATATATCGTATCGTGACCCCTCTGTCATGATATGTATCATATCGCCAAATTCTTGCCAATACACAGCCCTAATCGATTGAGTAACTTTAGTATCAGTACAGTACAAAACCGACGTTGCCATGTGTGTTTTTGGATTTTCAGTCATCCAGGACATGGAAATTCAAAGCAACAACAAAAAAAGGCAAATGCACCTGTGTTCTGTAGCTGAAGACGTGGAGTTAGTATCAGTATTATTGGGTCGACCCGTTCACTCCCGCCTCACTGATGTAAAAGTCAAATGAAATGTGACACAAGCATTCAGACTTTGAAAAACATCAGATATGTATCTAATTTAGTGCCACAAACTGAAAAGGCCTTGGTTGGATTTGAAAAAAAAAATCTGATTTGTCACATTCACACTTGTAGGAAAATGATCTGATATGTTGCATTTGCCTGCAGTGTGAACACAGCATTAGACTCTGCAAAAATGCCCCTCTGTCTGATTATTTATACATAACTGAATTATCATTCAGTTTTAAGGGGGCTTAAGTTCAGCTCAGCCTTATATCCCAGGTTAATTTCCTGACAGTGTCAGAATTAGTGCATGGTTATTATTTTTCTTTGTAGTGTTTTATAATTGAACCTGAGGCAAGAAAGAAAAACGGAATATATCATCTTTATTATTGTGCCATTTTTGGAGATGGTCAGCTTACGGGTCTGTTTCCAGTTACAAAAATTTAAACAAAGGGTGTCAAAACTTCAGCATTTGACATATTTATATTTAATAGTACATTAAAAGTTTAATCAGTGACAACATGCAATGATCTATTATTACTATTACTCTATTTGCAATACTCTTAAGTAGTGAGTGATATATTTGTGTGTGTGTGTGCGTGTGTGTGTGTGCGTGTGTGTGTGTGGCGGGGGGGTGTTTGACAGATTTTTTTGTAATAATAATTAATTATTTTTGTCTGCCGTCACTGAGGCAGTGGACTTAGAAATGCTCTCCGTCCGTCCGTGACGGTGTACATCAGCAACGGTTGGCGTCAAGTTCTATCTTGTTTATATATAAAGTCTTGTACACACATATTTCCATTGTTTTTCAAACACATAATTAAAACACTTGACTTGTGCTGCCATAGAATAAGTATCAATGTGACTTTGGTATTTAATCTGAACATTTCAGCAACAATCTTGTTTGTAGTTTTTAATCTTACAACTTGCAGAAAAAACAAACTTGATATAAAAATGACTAAACTGAACAAGACTAAGATAAAACCTAGCGTGTCAGTAATATTCCCACAGCAGAGGAGATAAATTTTTTTCCCTGACCCACTTAACAGGTTTTGCATCCCTCATTTTAGCTTCTGCGCTTCAGATCCACAGAGGATTGAGTGTGAGAGCTCTGCATCATAAAACTTTGGATCCCAAAGTCAAAAAATAACGGGACACAAAGCTTTGTGTCTGAGCCAATGGAATGTTATATATTAACAGAAACACTTGTCATTATGAACATTTAAATTAGATAATTTACTTGAGATTGTTTAGGATCTTTGAGGACTGCTGCAGTCAAACGTTGCTTAGTGCAAATAGAATTGCTGGTCTGAACACCTCCATCTCTGAGCTTTGTTTTCAGTCAGAGCTTTGGAACCTACCAGTCAGCTGGAACATCAATCTTGGAGATTTTAAAGTTGAGGTCAGCCATTCCTCCAACAGGAACACGGTCACTTCCTGTTGCAAAGTGGAGGAGCTTCTTCTGCAGCTCCAGAGGGAAGGCCAACACCACGTCCCAAAAACACCTGCAAAAGCAGAGTGTTGCTGGCTGAAAAAACAAAAACTTGCAGACAGAGAAAAACATACCGAACTAAGGAAAACAAGAACTGAAACAGTGAAATAACAAGTTTTTTAACTTGTGAAGTACATGGAAGGTGTTTTAACGTGTCTTTGAAGCTTTGACCAAAACTACATCAGATATATTTTTTTCTGTTTGTTTGTTTTTAAAGGAGACCAATTATGGGTCCTAGAAATGTTTATGGTATGTCTGTGGGCTATCCAGACTATGTTCATTCAATTTAATGCACAAAATAATTCTCAGATAATAAAATTTCCCATTTTCTAGTTCTGCCT